TAGTTTAAAGTCTGGTATTGGGATGCCTCCTGCTTTGTATTTCTTGTTAAGGATTGCTTTAGCTATTCTAGGACTCTTATTTTTCCAGATGAATTTCATGTCTGCTTTTTCTGTTTCTATTAGGAATGTCACTGGAATTTTGGTGGGGACTGCATTGAGTCTGTGTAGCACTTTGGGTGGTATGTCCATTTTGACAATATTGATTCTGCCTGTCCAAGAACATGGGGAGTCTTTCATCTTCTAAGGAAGGTCTTCCTCAATTTCTTTCTTTAATGTTCTGTAGTTTTCATTGTAGAGCTACTTCACCTCTTTTGTTAGCTTGATTCCTAAGCATTTTATTTTGGGGGGAGGCTTCTGTGAATGGAATGGATTTCCTAATTTCTCTTTCAGCTGATTCATCACTCGAGTACAGGAACACCATCTATTTACGGGGGTTGATTTTATATCCTGATACTTGGATGAACTTGTTGATAAGTTCTAGAAGTTTTCTGGCAAAGTTCTTTTTTTGGGGGGGCGAGGATATTCTTAATATAGAATCATGTCATTGGCAAATACAGATAGTCTGAGTTCTTCTTTTCCTATCCATATCTCTTCAATTTCTTTCTTTTGCCTAAATCACTCTGGCTAGAGTTTCAAGGACTATGTTGAATAGAAGTGGTGAAGGTGGGCACCCCAGTTCCTATTTTAGAGGGAATACTTTCAGTTTTTCTCCATTTAGAATGATGTGGCCTTGGGTTTGTCATTTGTAGCTTTTACAATGTGAGGGTATGCGCCTTCTATCCCTAGTTTTTCCAATGTTCTAAAAATGAACGGATGCTCTATTTTGTCAAATCATTTTTTTTCTGCATCCATTGACACAACCATGTGCTTCTTGTCTTTAAGTCTATTTATGTGATGTGTCACATTCATTGATTTCTGTGTATTGAACCAAACTTACCTCCCCAGGATGAACCCCACCTGATCACAGTGCACTATCTTTTTGATGTGTTTTTGTACGTGATCTGTCAGTATTTTATTCAGAATTTTTGTACCTATGTTCATCAGGTACATTGGTCTGAAGTTTTCTTTCCTTGATGTGTCTTTTTCTGGTCTTGGTATCGGGATGATAACCAGCTTCATAGAATGAGTTTGGAAGAGAGATCTCCTTTTTTATTTTGTGAAATAATTCGAGGAGGATTGGTGTTAATTCTTCTTTAAAGGCCTAACAGA